GGGGGGGGAGGGGGCGGGGAGGGCGGAATTTGAAAGAAAGACTTTCAAAATATTCTTTTCTAGGAGAATTTAGGGCTGCTGAAAGAGGTGCTACCTTGCTAGCCTTGGAGACTGGAGTGGGGCAACACAGACTACAAAATCTCATCCTCAACTCTGACCTGAAGCAGATACCTATAGAAGCACTGGCACTCAGCCTCAGACTACCAACAAGGATGTTGGCAGTCAGTGCCAACTGCTGCTGTAGTCTTGGTGATAGACATCAGTAAACTGAGAACCGGACTGAAACCAAATTCCACACAGGCCACTGAGAGGCATTAGTTATGCAACTGCAGGCATACTACAAACTACTAGTCTTCTGAGTAATGCCACCCGCTATAACTCTCTGAAGCTCTCAACAAAAATCTTTGCTCAGGAGTTTCGGAACTTGCCTTCAACAACGATAAATGAAGAACTAGCAAGTCAACAAATAGTATCTTAATACAATTACCACACTTCATCCTTTGCATACCCCCCTACATAATCCGAAGTACTTACGCGCAAGCCAAAGTAGAGAAGGAAGAACACGTTGAAAGCCATGTCAATCTGTAATGTGAAATCTTTGTAGAAATTCTGGCAGGATTCTATTGGACTATTTGAAAAAAAAAAAGAAATCAGAGTAAATGGGGGATCTCAGTGTCACATTTTTTTCTGTTTTGTTTTTTGATAAAAGGCTGAATTTTGAAAATATCATTTTGTTTTCCAGTTCTCTTATGAAGTACAAGCAGGCATTTCCAACAGAACATTTCAGTCATTCAGTTATTCATTCATTCTTAATTTTCACCTGCTCAAATAAATGTCTGAAAATAAACATGCAGAGACCTTTAAGTAAGACAAGCAGGAGATTACCTTAGGATCCCTTAACCTCACATTAACCCTTAAAGAACTGACTTCTTTCTACTGGATATACAGCTATGATAGTTTAGGAATAAAACCTAACTGACACACAGTTACAGTGAAACATTACACATTTTAAATTCATGGCATAATGTAAAATCTTAAAAAACAAAGTTGCTTATGAATACTAAACCCATTAGCAACCTGAGGGACTTAGTCTTTGTAAGATTCCTTGTTTTTACATCAAGTCAGATTTTTTTTTAGATGGCCAGCTATGTACTTTATATACAGTACTACGAACTGAATAGAAAAGCAGCATAGCCCACTGGTAAAATTAAACAACAACAAAATGAATTGTGGGACTTGAAGCAGTACTCTAAGGGTTAATTTCTGCATGCAGGTTAATTAATTACCCTTCTAAAAGCAGCCATTGCAAATTCTAGCTTATCGTTTTATGCTTTACTTAAGAGTGGATCAGATCCAAAGCATACTCTATACAAACTGGTACTTCAGTTTATATCTACCAACTAGCAGTTCAAGGAGGAGACTTTTTCGGTCCATGATTAGTGATTTATTTGTGGTATTCCTAGCACAGAGTGGGGAAGACACAGAAAGCAGCTGAAGTGGCAAACCAAGCATAAGTAGCATGTCCCAAAATGTATATAGCAAATGATCATTTAATCCTCATATCTACAGAAAGAGGAAGAACAGCTAGAAAGTTAAGATCATTTGGAAGCATGGAAATTCCACTTTCAGGACAGAAAGGAAAAATTTCCTCAACTTCCCCAGTGCAAATAAATCACTGAATGTAATACCAGTTAGTATAGCTGTAGCTCTGCAAATATGATGCTGAATTGCTCGACAAGCAAGATTCTATGCATTATGAATGTCAGTAACCTAATTTAAGGCATAAAGGAAATTACCTGGGCCACCAGGTCGTTACACATGCAGTCAGGTTTTCCATTCCTTGTATACATGTCAAACAAATTAAGTACAGCATGCCCTCTTGGTTACAAATGCATGGATGTTTACAGCAAAAGTCTCCCTGACATATAATAGCCTAGCATTTTAAGGAGCTTCTGTGCTGTAGGTAACTGTATTTAAAATGTGTCTTAAGAAAAAAAATACCATGATGTCCAAACTTGAACATTATGAAACATACCACCTCTATTATAACCAAAGGAAAACTGATTTCAGGCAGAAGACACTAATGGAATTAAAGTAAGCAACTCACAATTTACACATACAGATTTAATTTTTAGTTTGTTGTGTTTTTTTTAAAAGAAAGGTGGTTGTAAACTGAGAACTAATATGCCCAGCTTCTTGTAGAGAATTCTTATGATCAAAGGAGCTTGTTATGATAAGGTAAGCTATACAACTTAAGTCAGTGTGTACTGTAGCAACAAAAGTCACAGAAAGTACAACAGGAACGGAATAAATGATGCTGCACCAAGATAAAGACTGAAAACCCCTACCTCCCAGGTACATTTCTAAAAAATAAGCTGCAAATGCACTGAAGTGAATGGAATTAAATAAGAGCAAACTGTGAGAAAATCCAATTTTACTGTCTTCCTTGTACTGACATTCAATGTTCATCAGGTCCGCAGAAAAGGACAAACTAGTTGTATCCATGCATCTCAGGACCACTGTCCTTTCGGGTCATCGGGAAGGTTTTGCAAGTCTGCTTACGTACACCATGTCTTTTTTTCTTTGTACAGTGCTTAGCATAAATCATAAAATCCTGATTCAGGACTACGAGAACTATCTTACTAGAAATACCACCTCTACTTCTATTCATCATGACTGTTCCTCATTTTGGGGAATATCACTGCTTAGACCCCAAATTACTCATGCTGAATACAAATGTAGTGCTTTTGCATCAGAAATGCAGAATCATGTCACTGTAGAGAATGCTTTTTATATGGGGGGCAGTGAGGGAGGGGAGATTCCCCCCCAGCAACTTAAACTTCCTTAGGTCTGGGTCTTTGCCATCTATTGTGCTTCATGTTTGGACCATGAAAGATTGAAACTTAATTACTCATAACACTCTTAACATGACCAAGGTCACTCCCAATACTGTAGAAAATACAATTTTACCAGAGGGGTTTTCATCCCTATATCTATGAGCAAGATATATTTAATGAAAAAGTTTTGAAGAATTCATTAAGACTTCCTACAAGGAAAACCCATCTGGTAGTTGGGCTCAGAAATCCTAAAGAATCTTGGCAAATGACCCACCCCATTCCCATCAAACTGATGAAACAGCTCAACAAGCTATGAGATACGTTTCAGATGTAATATTCTATGTACATTGCACTGAAAATGCCTACCTACAGAAACGGAACTGTGCGTATTTGTCTTCGTTCCAAATGGAAGATGAATCCCTAGGGCAAATGCTACATTCTTTTAATTCTTAAGTAAAACAATTTAGCTCCTAGTGAGCTTCCCTCCTTGCTTGCCCAGATTCACACTTCCAGAAGGCAACACATTTTGTTAAAATTATTTATATTACACTCTCCTTAAAATAGTAAGTGAAATATATACAAATCATGCCGAACATTTTAAACATAGTAGAGTTCAAGGATAGATGACTTCATTTTCCATGATCCTATGCTGGTATAAACCAAAAGAAACTCCTTTTAAATCAATGGATTTACACAGCTAAAAATATGCTGAAATGGAAAATCATGTCCAGAGGAAGAATGTAACCACATCAAATATGGATGAATGTTGTCACTGTATTTGCAATATTCATTTTCTCCCCAAAGGTCTATCATTGTTTTGCTAAACTGAAGATGACTTCAAGAAATCAGTAACACCAGAAGTAGCTGGTGGCTCATTACCTCTAGGCAGACACACATAGTACCTACTTTATTTGATTTAACATAAGGACTTGTGAGTAATTTATCAAAATGATCCAACTGTCTTCCCTCCCACTCCCTTCCTGCTAAATTTAATAAACCAAGTGTACAAAAAATGCATGCAAGCCATATACTTAGACTTGAGAAACTTAAGGACATATCCATAAAGTTAGTGTTTGCATTTACCTGTACATTGATGCAACTGATTAAATTGTACTGTAATAATAATAATGAAAGATTAGCACAGCATTCAGACTGCAGAATTTGAAATGAAGATAAATACTTGATTTAACAGGCATGCACTATCCCTTTGATGAGTATTTTTGCTTTGCCCAAAATCCTTGTAATTGTTTTTAATCAAATAAGATCTTTGTTACACCAAATTATTTATTCTCTGTTGATATATATTTACAAACCTATGCACAGGTCTATTCAGAAACAACCTAACAACAAACAAGGCAAGAAAACTGCCCAAAATTTTGTGTCAGTTGATGGAGGTATTATAACAAGGAGACTGAGAAACCTCAAATACCCACTGCAACAGATCACTTGACTACAGTTGCAATGATTAAATGGAAGAGCGAAAGTTAACCTTTTTTTAAATTACTTGCATAAGAAGCTTGTGAAGTTCTTTATTTTTACCTCTTGTGTTCATTTTGTTCTAATTTTGAAAGCCTTGTTAAGAGATTTTTACTTTGTGCTTGTTGTTTGACCACTTAGGTAGTGCTCCTGGGTTAGAATGATAATTATGGGTAATATATTGTCTGCGTTTAAAAGGCTTTCCAAAAGGTAGCTTCAGCTTGGAAATAAAGGTTTGTCTTAAATAGCAGCAGTAACGTGGTCAAGCCAATATTCAACCTGATTACTTACATTTCAATTATTACTATTACTGATTATAAATTGAGCAAGAAATTGTTTATTTAAATGAAAGGATTCACATAGTCATGTGACAAGGCACAAAATGTAGACAGCTTTTGTCAGAGACAGTTAAGGCAGGGCATATCTACTGTTAGCCCTTCAAGCCCTGTTTTTCTATAATTACACAACTATTCAAGGGGAGATATGTTAATGTGCCTTATTTTAAGAGACTTCTTTAATCACTTCTCTTCCAGTTCAGGATTTTAATTTTTTTTTATCATATTGTTTAATGGGCCTGTTTTCTGAAGTGCAGAACACCCTCAACTCCCATTACAAAACAATCACCTAACTCCACAGGTATTTGCATAACATACTAAATTGGACTAAATATGATCCAACAGTATTCTTCATAGCCCTTTATAAGATTTTTGTTTTTGAGGGAAAAGAAGTTGAGCAGGTTGCCTATTTTTAAAAATATTGTTTTAGTGATATAATGTTAACGTAAAACTATGTAAGGGAGCAGGAATGTCATTTAAAGGAGATGTTTATCTAAAGTAGAATGCTTCCTCTTACTCTTATTCTAGGATGCACCACTTTTACTCTTATCTCTTGCTGAGAGAGACCAACTAGTAAAATTGTGAAAATAATAAAAATCTCTCCAATAACAGGTACATGGACACGCTATGCATTTACAAAAGTAGACACCTAGCAAGCACAACTTAAAAAAAATCAGGGTGAGACAATAAGAATGCAGTGTGTCAAACACCCATGGAGACTGATAAAGTAAATGGCAGAGATTCTTAAAAAAATAATCAAATGTCTTTCAGGTATTAATCATGTTATCTAGATAAAGCAAGAGTCCTTATTAGGACTATAAGATTGCTTTACTTCAACACATGTATTGATCTGTTCTAAATGCAAGACACTTAGGTAAATGGCTCCGCTCAGAAGGCATCGCTTCAAAGCATGATATCTATAGGCCTATTACTTTCTCCAGTGGCAAATGGCTTTTAATTACTTCTCTGCTTGTTGACAT